AATTTATCTATGTTCTGAACCCTATACTATTTCCTTCCTGATTCCTAAACCTGTATATTCAATCCAGGAACTATCTCTGTCAACATGTCCCATAGATACTTTGTAAATTTTAGGACTCTTCCTGTGGCAGCCAACTGATATCTACATCAAACTAAATTATACCAAAGGGGCTGGATGCAGTGACTCACCCCTGTAATCCTAGAACTTTGGGAGGCCAAGGAGGGTGGATCACTTGAGGTCAGGAGTTTGAGACCAGCCTGGCCAACATGGCAAAACCCCACCTCTACTAAAAATACAAAAATTAGCCAGATGTAGTGGTGGGCGCCTGTAATCCCTTCTACATGGAGGCTGAGGCAGGAGAAGCGCTTGAACCTGGGATGTGGAGGTGGCAGTGAGCTGAGGTCATTGTGCCACTGCCCTCCAGCCTGGACAACAGAGTGAGACTCCATCTCAAAACAAAACAAAACAAAAAAACAGATATTTGAACCTAGGAAGAGCAGTCATGGAATTGGCCTCAGGATGGCCAGACGGTGGCTCACGCAACCTCCACCTCCCGGGTTCAAGTGATTCTCCTGCCTCAGCCTCCTGAGTAGCTGGGATTACAGGTGTATGCTAGCATGCTGGGCCAATTTTTGTATTTTTAGTAGAAATGGGGTTTCGACATGTTGGCCAGGATGGTCTTGAACACCTGACCTTGTGATCCATCCGCCTTGGCCTCCCAAAAGTGCTAAGATTATAGGCGTGAGCCACTGTGCCAGGCCCTTACATTGTCTACTTTTAGTGACCTCAGTAGAAAGAGCTTCTCCCAGTTTCAGTATTAAAAACATCCAGCAAAGGGTGTGCCAGCCTGAGACTTCTACATACCCCTTTGGGGCCATATTGAGTAATATAATTGGAAGAGTACTCTATCAGGTTAAATATTGCTTTGGTTGTATTAACACAGACAAACAATGATAACTTAAATAAAGTAGATATTTATTTCTCTCTCACATAAAAGTCCAAGCTGGTAGGTGGTCTAAAAGGTAGATTGCTTGCATGTTTCCAGTGTGTTCAAGTTCCTTCTGTCTTGGGATTCTGCCATTCCCTGTGATATTTCTCTTGTTGGTATGGTCTCAGATCACCACTATTACATCTGCTTTCTATCCTGCAAGCAGGGAGAAAGGGAGTCAAAGGCATGTAGCTGCTTTTTAGGGGTATGACATAGAAGATTTTTAAGGGGTATGACCTAGAAGTTTCACCACTTTGGTTAATATACCATTGTCTAGAACTTAGTAACATGATCACATCTAAATGCAAGGAAAACTAGAAAATGTAGTCTCTAGTGGAGCGGCTGCCGTTCCTAGCTAAAATTGCTGGGGGAAAGGAAGGGAGTGTGACTTATATGTATGTATTATTAAAAATAGATATGGAGGTAGCGACCTCTGTAATAGTTTCATTAGCAGCCCCACCATAATCATGTGATTATTCTTGATTATATAGGGAAAGACTAGTTCCTAAAGGGAAGAGGGATGGCAGTGCTTTTAATAGAAGATAGGGATGGTGGCATGGCAGATAGGGATGGTGGCATGGCAGGCAAAATTGATACTATGTCATGCTACCTAAAAACCAACATATCTGAAACAGTATATTCCCGTATTCCTATTTGTTCTAACTCAGTTAATGATACCATCATGTGGCCAGCTATTCAAACTAAATGTGGAAATAATTATCTACTCTTCTTATTTCTTTGGTCTTACCTTCTTTATACTTCCTAGATATGACTGCAAACCTACCCTTCCTCCTTCTACCACCATTATGTCTTATCTTCAGTCCTCCTTCATCTCACTACTGGGATCCTCATCCCACCCACATCCAGTTTCAGCGAACTCTTCCGATATAGCCAGAGTGATGTTATCAGAAGACCAATCTGATTTTGGTACTTCTTTGCTTAAAACAAAACAAAACAAAAAAATCTTTAGTTGCTTACCAGTGTCTATGTGGTAAAACCTAGCAGGTTATAAGATACTTATGATCTGGCTACATGATGTGATGAGCTTCTCTAGTATTTCCTAGTGTCCTAGCCCTCCATCCTGCTAAAATGTCCACAGTCTCCTCAGTGTCATGCTGTTTCATCCTACCTCTGCCTTTGAACTTTCCTATGTTTTCCACTTGGAAAAATATCACTTTTTCTTCAAGACTCAATTCAAAGGAATCTCTTTTCTGAGAAGTCCTCTCTGACTCTCCACTTCTTCCACCTGAGTTTACCATTCTCTCCTTTACCACCTCTTGAACATGTTCATTGAAAATATTTGCTTACTACATAGTCTCCATGATTAGATTGTGAGTCCCTGTGGGAGCTACATCCATCATCTATATCTCTAGGGTCTGACACAATATCAGTCTTTAATAAATATTTACAGAATGAATAAATGAGTTAATTAAAAATTTCTTTCATCCATTGGTTCTCTATTATTTACAACCATACAACCATCCCTAGCATAAAAATGTAAGGTGTAAGAAAGTAAAATTTTTTTTTGCTTCTTTAGTTAATAAGAGTAAGAGGAGTCTCTATTCTAGTTTGGGCATACATTTTTGTAAATTCAAACGAAACTTGAGTTTGTTTTATTTCACATGCAGCTAATTTTTCTATTTTCCTGCTTACCTTTTACTCTTGGTTCTAAAAAGTTCTGGGATCCTCTGATATTAAATGCATTTATGTGGATCTTTTAAAGTTGTCTGAATTAATAACATTCTTGGGGAATATTTTTGAAATGGTCTGTGGCATACTCGGACATTTTAAAGTGAAGGCTTAGAATCATTAAGTAGAGAAAATAACTTTAGTTAGTTACTCTAACTCTACTTTAGTTAGAGTAGAGAAAAGTTCTAGGTAGTGAGTGCAGGGGAAGAGTAAGTAAATAATTACAATCTATTGGCTAGCACTATATTAAGTGAAGCTCATATTGAGTAAGTAAATAATTACAATCTATTGGCTAGCACTATATTAAGTGAAGCTCATATTATATCAAGCATAGAATATTATGTGAAAGCATTTATTTTCTAGTAAATTTGTTTATGAAAAATAAAAATGTACTGTTTATTTTAGAAACAGGGCATGCTGACCAACATGGTGAAACCCCATCTCTACTAAATACAAAAAAATCAGATGGGTATGGTGGCGCAGGCCTGTAGTCCCAGATACTTGGGAGGCTGAGTCAGGAGAATTGCTTGAACCTGGTAGGCAGAGGTGGCAGTGAACCAAGATCATGTCACAAAAACGAAAAACAAACAATAAAACAGTGCATGTTGGTCAGAAAGTTCAAAAAATACATGTAAATATAAAGAAGAAAACAGATCTATAATCCCACAGATAACTATGACTTTTTAATGTTCTTTTTGCAGTGACACACACTATACACCTATTTGTTTATTGCAAAATGGGATTATGCTGCATCTGTTGTTTTGGACAGTTTTTTCCCTGTCATTTAAATAGATTTTCAAAACATTATGTTTAATTTCTGTAGTATTCTCTGAATGATTTATATAATTGGTCTCCTGTGTTGGACTTTTAGGTTGCTTCCTTTTCATTATAATAAATGCTCCTTAACTTTGGTACTCCTTAAATATTCCTCACTATAATACATATTTCTGGAGCTGAGTGTGATACTTGTAATCTCAGCAACTGGGAGGCTGACATGGGAGGATCATTTGAGATCAGGAGTTCAAGACCAGCCTGATAACATAGCAAGACCCCATCTCAAAAAAAAATTTTTTTTAAGCAGCTAAGTGTGGTGACATGCACCTATACTCGGGAGGCTGAGATGGGAGGATTGCTGGAACCTGGGAGTTCAAGGCTGCAGTGAGCCGTGATCATGCCACTACACTCCAGCCTAGGCACACAGCAAGACCTTGACTCTAAAAAACTAATAATAGTAAATAAATATTTCTTTGCTTTTTATTTTTAGTTTCCATGTCTTTTTAAAATTTTTAAAATTTTTTTTACTTTAAGTTCTGGGATACATGTGTTGAACGTGCAGGTTTGTTACATAGGTATACATGTGCCATGATATAAATATTTATTTACATGTCATTTTGTTTATGGTAGTTTCTTGAAAAAAAATGGTAAAATCTATTGATCTTTCTTTAGGGTTCTACCTTTGGTGTCATGTTTAGGTAGCGTGCAAAGAGTATGTATCTATTTGCCTATGTTTTATGTCCGTTGTGATTTTTAAACATTAAGAGTTATAATCTATCTGAAGTTTATTATGGTATACTGTATGAGGTTTGAGTCTAATTTATAGATTTTTTTTGGATCCTACAGTTTGTGTCAAGAACTTTATCAGGAATTGTGGGTCATACCACACATCTATTTATGACAGTGCCAAGTTTCTTTTTTCTTTCTTTCTTTTTTTTTTTTTTTGAGGTGGAATCTCACTCTGTCACCCATGCTAGAGTGCAGTGGCTCGATCTTGGCTCATTGCAACCTCCACCTCCCAGGTTCAAGTGATTGTGCTGCCTCAGCCTCCCTAGTAGCTGGTACTACAGGCACATGCCACCATGCCCGGCTAATATTTTGTATTTTTACTAGAGATGGGGTTTTACCATATTGGCCAGGCTGGTCTCAAACTCCTGGCCTAGGTGATCCACCTGCCTTGGCCTCCCAAAGTGTTGAGATTACAGGCGTGAGCCACTGAGCCTGGACAGTGCCAAGTTTCATATAATAGGTTTAGCGGTACCCAAAAATCATTGATAATTGATTGACCAAAATTAGTGAACTAACCAGTGAGTGAATCTGGTTCACTTACTCTTATGTATCTACATACCTCAACTTTATATGTTTTTTCCTGGTATAACTTACTCAGGAATATATTACAGACAAATGTTCTGTTTGGAAAGATTCTTTGTTTCATAAATATTAGATTTGTTATGAAAGTGTACCTAGTACATTGTTGGCTTATAAATGTTAAAATAACTTACCTAAATTTTTACCAATTTTACAAATACATTTATTTTGGTTTTTCTAGAATCTGTGTTTGTGGATATCCTCGACAACATGTAAGAAAATACAAAGGTATAAGTAGCAGGATACCAGTTTCTTCAGGATTCATGGTGCAAATGTTAACAGGGATTTATTTTGCCTTGTAAGTATCTCATCATACGCAAAGTAAACCTTTAATTTCTTTGGAAAATTATAGTCTGTTAATCTATTGTCACTATATTATAATGTCAATAGATAAGTGATTTACATACTTTAAGAATATGAATGAATATCTTAAATAGTTTTATTTAAGGAAGATATTCATTCAAATTCTTTATTTTATTAAATACTTTTAATACTTTAAAACTATTACCTTAGTTTGAAACATATCTTTTAAAGTTCTGATGAATTTTTAACCAACTAAAACACTTTACCATCTTTCTTGAATTCAAGGATGGAATGAAAATTAGTAACACTTAAATATATTCATAGTCTCTTTCTTCATTTTTTTTTTTTGCTATAATTTCCAAATAGCTTTTTTTCCTCAAGAAATATCTTTTCCCATTGCCAGAAACTTTAGCTCTTAAAAAACATTTCAGAGCCTCTTTGATTAAAAATAGTTTATTATTAGCTTTCTATTAGTTTCTAGTATTGGTGCTCAGTCTCAGGCTTACCTAATGACTTGGGTACTAGTATTTTTCTTTGAACCCTATCCTTTACTTTATAATTCTCTTATTATACATGTCTCATTTACTTTGCATGATATTTACTTGATACGTTTAATTTTCTCTAGTAGAGTATAAACTTTTTGAAGGCAAAATTTATAAACTTCTTAAAGGCAGAATTTATCGTCTCTGGGCCCAGTCTGGCCTGATGCCTGTTTTTGTCAAGTTTTTGCAACACGGTCATGCTTGTTTGTTTATGTATTGTCTATGGCTGCTTTTGTGTTGCAATGGCAGAGTTGAATAGTTGAGACTGTATGGCCGACAGGCCTAAAATACTTGTTGTCTGGCCCATTAAGAAAAATTTTCTGACCCCTGTGTTAGACCATTAATATTGTCCCACAGTTCTTGGATGCTCTGATCTACTTTATTTTATCTTTTTTCTTTGTGTTTCAGTTTGAGTAGTTTCTGTTGGATATATCTTCATGTTTACTGATTTTTTTCCTTGACTAGGTCAAGTCTAGAAAGGAGACCACTGAAGGCATTCTTCATCTCTGTTACTGTGTTTTATTTCTAACCATTTCATTAGACTCTTTCTTGTAGTTCCCGTCTCTTTGCTGAAATCTTCATTTGTTCATGCATGTTGTCCATCTTTTCCACTAAAGCCTTTAGTATATTAGTCATAGTTAAATAAATTTCCCAAATAACTTCAACATTTAGGTCATCTATGAATTTAGTTCTACTGCTTGCTTTATCTCTTGACAGAGTTGGTCTTGTTTGTTTTGCTTTTTGTGTGCCTTGTAATTTTTTATTGTTCATGATTTTGTTCAGCGGTAGGACAGTGGAGACTGAGGTAAATATTATTTATGACGGGAAATGGGCATGCCTCTTCTAGGCTGCTAGTGGAATTATTATAGGCAGAAGTGAACTAGGATTGGGTTTTGTTGTTATGGTTACCCTCAGGGCACCATCTACTTCAAATTCCTCTAGTGCCACCTGGTACTTAGGTGGAGAGCTGGATTGCTGGAGGGTTTTTGTTAATACTCCTGCTTCCTCCTCAGCTTTCAGCATTCCCTGTATGCCTCCACTGCAGATAGATTTCTCTCCATGTTCTCACCCCTTCCTCCAACAATAGAGTTCTGTTGCTTGGTTCTGGGTGTGCACTAGCCTGATGGTGGTTGGGGTGGTGGCTTGGAGGGGAGCATGTGGAAATGGGGGAGGTAATGTTCTCTGTTGTCCTAGTCCAGCCTCAGTTTTAGGCTGATCCCATGTCCCTGCATCTCAGGGATGGGAGTTTCTCAGTGGTCCTGCCCCTTCTTCAGTGATGATACCTCTACTTATCTCAGCATAGAGTAAGAGGTTTTTTGCTTTTTTTTTTTTCCTTACCCTCAGAGCCAAATTGGTCTTCACTTGTACCCTGGGGGGTGAAAGGGTTTGCTGCTCTTTCCCCAAAGGCTTTAACATTTTTGTTCCATGTGATAAAGGCATCTGGCTGGGTCTTTGTACTTTTCTCATGGAGAGGTTACTCTTTTCCTTCAGGCCTATACCATCAAGGGCAGTTTTCTCTGACCTGTCCTGTTTCTAGTTTTTCTTGTGAGTGCCTAAAGGAGATTTATGGAGAAGAGCCTGTGGTGGATACAAGCTGCCACTTGTATGTGCTTTTGGAGATCCTATACTCTCCTGCTAGCCCATGAGGTACCTTTTAGCAATTTGGCTTCTAGGAATTTGTTAAGAAGATTAGCTAAATGTTTCTTACCTGCTTGTATTGTGGCCCATCTCTCCTTAGAGGCACCTATCTCTCCTTGGGGTTCCGGCTATGTGGATGCCCTTGTGACCTCGGCTCTTTGATGGATTCATGAGAATTTATAATTTTATAGATTATCTAGCTTTATCTTGTTTTTATGGTGGGAGTAATATTCTTGCCAGTTTTTAGGCCTCGCTTGCACTCTTGATGTAATGTATACCTCTTTATTTTGTTGTCAGTTGATCAAGCCATTATATCTCTGTTCATTTTTGTAATTTAGCTGATTTTTAGGAAGGGTTTGGCATATCTTTGAAAATTATGCATACACACACACACACACACACATATACACTCACACACACATGCACACATACTTTTTCCCTCATGTTGCTCTGCTATTTGCAACATGTAGCAAATACACATCTAAGTGACTATCAAAATGCAAAGAAATAACTACTCAGGATACTGCAAGCCACATTAGTTGTATATTCTCATTAAAAACTGTGGGAGTTACAGAGTAATTTGGCCATAAAGTATTCTGAACATTATTCTAAGGTATATAATTTATTATTCCCTGATTTGCTTTGAAAGTATAAAATGCTTTGAAATTGCCTTAGCTTTTTTTATTTCTGTTCTATAAATAGTCATGTTCTTTAGAGAAGAAATGTAGATCTATAAAATTTTCTTTGCTATTAATAGGCATTTAGATGCAATTCGAAGGAATTCAAAGATTTAAAAATACATTTTTAAGAGGAGTAGAATGTTAAGCAATGTGCTAATCTGATCTTTTATTTTCTTCAGTAAAGACAATTTCTCATTGTATTCTGTTCAGTTATAAATAATTATAATTTCTTTGTTTAATTCATCTAATTTTATAGTTACAATGGAGAATGGGATCTCGCTCAAAAAGCACTGGATGATATTATATACAGAGCCCAGCTAGAATTATATCCAGAGCCATTGCTGGTAGGTGTCTGACTTATTTATGTAAATTTTATAATTTAAGATTTCTCAATTTAAAACTATAAATTGAGAGAGCCATTCATAGTTCATTAATATGTCATTAATACTCAGTGTATTCATGCTCTTGTTTTACATGGAAGTTTTATAACTTAGAAAAGTAACAAATAAATTTTTTAAAAAATTTTCTTTGAGACAGAATTTTGCTCTTGTTGCCCAGGCTGGAGTGCAATGGCATGATCTTGGCTCACCACATCCTCCACCTCCCAGGTTCAAGCGATTTTCCTGCCTCAGCTTCCCAAGTAGCTGGGATTACAGGCACACGCCACCATGCCCAGCTAATTTTTTGTATTTTTAGTTGAGACGGGATTTATTCATGTTGGTCAGGCTGATCTTAAACTCCCAACCTCAGGTGATCAGCCTGCCTTGGCCTCCCAAAGTGGTGGCATTACAGGTGTGAGCCACTGCACCCGGCCAAAATAAAAATTTTTGTTAGACCGACTTCCTAGACACCTAACAGTCTTTTTAACTTATAAGAATTGTTCTCCTTAACATACTTTAGCTGCATTTATTAATTAACATTAGGCATTTGGAAATCTAATTGAATATTTTGAAATTTTTAACTTTATCATTTACATATTTTTTAAACCATGAATTTCCCCCTGAGCCTCCTCTTCTTATCTTAGAGGATTTCTGTATCATCTTTTAAAATGCTTGGGAAGAGCATCTTTGTATAAGCCTGTTTAGCGTCATGTTTTATCTAAGGGTAAGATAATACATCTGCTCATGTTGATCTTAAACTATATTTTTTCTTCTTAGGTTGCTAATGCAATAAAGGCTTCATTGCCTCATGGTCCCATGAAATCTAATAAGGAAGGTACAAGGTGTATTCAAGTTGAAATCACACCAACTTCCTCTAGAATATCAAGAAATGCAGTAACCAGCATGTCAATAAGGGGTCATAGGTGGAAAAGACATGGTAAGAAATACGTAACTCTTCAAGTCAAACCATTGTTCATTTCTTTACATTTTTCGCTGTACTTACGGTGCTATAACTTCTAACTTCAGTAAATAGTAGTCTGGAAGAAAGAGCTGTGGAGTTGTCCTTAACTCCTAATTTATTATCTAGGAGCAATAGGCAATAAGAAAAATGGAGCCCCTTGTGTTACATATGAATGAAAATTTATTTAAAAATTGTATTCATTTTTAAATTGTTATTTCAGTAGGAGAATAAGGAAAATGCATTTTAAAATTACTCATACATTTTGGGCTTGTATTCAAAAGTATTTGCAAATATTCCTTAATTAATATTTCTGATTTCTCAATTAAGCAAGTAATTTACATATTGAAGTAGAACAACTAATAAGGACTTTAAACACTTTGTCTGGACTTTCTGGTAAAGAATGCCATAGTATTGATGCAACACTAGTTATTTGTATTTTCTTGAAGTTAATTTTCTTCCAAGATTCTGTGTATGTGTGTGTGTGTATATATATATCCCTTCTTGTCTGCTGCTTGTCTGCTTCATTTTATTATTTTAAAATTTTACTGGAAGTCAGTTTCATTCATTATGGCTTTTTCAATGCTTTCCTATTTCCCTCCCTTGTCTTTTAATTTATTATTCTTTATTTAATTTCGTATTCTTTTTATAACTTCCCTCCTATCTAGACGTTATTGTAGTGTCAACAACCAGTCTAAGAAGGAAATTATCACCTTCCTCAGAAGGTCACCATGGTGGGAAGCACAAAGCTACTTCTTTACCCTAAGCAAACATCTATATTAGAAGTAAAACAAAATCCATTCTCTGTTTTCTTCTTCCTGTAAATTGAGGTGAAAATAGTAGTTTCTTTTCGTATATTTAGTTCCGGTTGTGTTATGGTTTCTATAGAGAAAATGGGAAAGGAGGAGAAGAATGGAGCTATTTATGGTAAACTAGAAAGCTGATCATGAGAACAGTTGCCATTGTTTTCACTTAAAGAAGCTAGGTGATTGTATGTCAGAAAAGAATAATGATTATCCAGCTTACCTAGTGATCATTTTTGGTGTTTTTAAAGTGTGGGCATTCTTGAAAGTTCCATAGGAAAGCATAAAAGAGGTGGTGATGTCTGCCAATAGCAAGGCATATTATGCCACCATTTAAAACATACAGTCTAAACAGCCTACTTCTAGGCTCTCTAACAGACACTGGCTTCCTGTGGGGAAAGTAGATACCTTTGCTGTACTTCCTAGATATATAGACAATTCTCAAATTATGCTACTGAATGGGTCTAAATTACAGGTAGAAAGTCATTTAATTAGATATGGTTTACCCTGAGATTGGTTTTTCTGTTTTGGTATTAATGTGTGAAAACAGGCATGGAGGCAAGGAAGCAGATCATAGTGGTTACTGTGGCTATAAGTGCTCCCGAGCTACTGCTACAGGAAGCACAAGAATGAATTTTAATTTCTTTTCCACTTTCTTTCTTGCTATTTAGGTAGACATATTGGGAATTAGGGAGAGAAATGTAGGTCCTGCAGTTAAAAATGTGAAATATTGATGCTCCCTTGTATTTGTGCGTGTGCGTGTGTATGAGAGTTTGTGTGCATGTCCAGGCATACATTTAAACAAGGAGGTTTGTACCCTGCAATAAAATGGAAGCCATTTCCCAGAAATGTTTTATAGGAAAAAAATTACAAAACAAGAGAAAAGACTGCTTGAATGTATTGTATCTAGCAGATTCTTACATATCTTCCAGATTCCATTTTGGCTGCCACTTGAGGGGTTAGCACTCTGTCTTAGGATTTTACCCACGTTAAAGTAGTATTCTTATCACCTGTCCTCCTTCACATTTCTAACACTTGGGAAACTCCTGTTTATTATAACAATAAAATCACAGATGAGAATATATAAGTGAACGAACTATAAAAAGTAAGTCACATGCATGGAACAGATACAGAATACAACTTAGCCTTGTTCATCACTCTTCTTTAGTGTGAATTTCTTTTATCCAGTGGACTCTAAAATACTCCTAAGTCCTTCTTATTTGCCTCTACAGGTAGGTTGCAGTCTTCTCCCTTTTTAGGGTAGTCTTGGCTTTCCCTTTTAGAGCAGTAAAGTTACCGTGTTCGGCTGAATTTAAAAGGTTTCTATTTTCCATCCTCATGGTCCTGCTTCCTACTTCTAGGCTCTCTAACAGACACTGGCTTCCTGTGGGGAAAGTAGATACCTTTGCTGTACTTCTTAGATATATAGACAATTCTCAAATTATAAATAGATTATTAAATTTAATTTTGTTTATATATAAATTACAAATTTCTCAAATTATAGATTTTTAAATTTAATTGTATTAATATATAAATTCTGTTGTTGATATTTATATATAAATCAAAACAAAATTTGTTTATACATTTCTTTAGAAACAATATTAAAGGGCTTGTAGATCCCAGGGTGAGCCACAGCAGCCTTTTTATCTCATAATGTTTCTGAAACATAGGACTATAGAATGTTTAAGTTCAGTTCATGGCTGTGTGAAAATACATTTAGAGTTTCTATATTTAATGGAACTCTGAATGTGTTTCCCATCCTACCCACTCATATCCCTACTATTCTCTCACCACAGCAACTCTCACAGTAGGACGAATTTCTTCCCAAACCCTCAACTGTATCAATCATACAGTAGAAACAAAGAATATCCCACCCTAAGCCAGTGGTCATGAGGGTTGGGAAAGGAGAAGGAACAAGAACCATGAACTTTAAGAAATACTCTTTTTTTTTTCTCTTTCTCCTTCCTCTTTCTTTGTTTTCCTAGTTTTTGGAAAGCAGAAAGCAATTGGCCTTTTTTTTTTTCTTTTCTTTTTTTCTGTTGGAGCTCTTCCCTTTTTCTTTTACTTATTTGTCTTTATTTATTATTGCATTTCTCCTAATTTCTCCTCTTTCTATCTTTTCTGGATAGAAGAGGGAAAGGAGTGAATGAGGTTTTCTCATGGAAAGAGCCAAGTAAAAGTTTGCTTTTTGCTTTTTTTTTCTTTTCCATCTCCCTTTACCATGAAAGAATATACGTAATTAAGCCATGTGAATGTACTGGTGTGTTTGCATATCTGAGTCACCAAAAATTATTACACAGCCAGCAAATACATTAAATTAGAGCAATTAGTGGACATTTATTCTCCTTTATTATCAGTAACAGAAGAATCTTTCCATTTTCTTTACAGCCCAATCTCACACTATAGTGTTTTTAAAATGAATTTTGAAAAGTTTTAATTATTTACTTTTTAAAATATTTTAAAGCTATTCTAGAATGTATTTTAGGATTCTCTAATGCTTCATAGATCTACCATCTTTTTCCTAAGGTTAAGAATTATTCACAACATATTTTAATGGAAAGTATTATAATGGAAGTTTAAAAATTACTTTATCCTTAACATTTCTACACATTTCAGAATATGCATCCTTGGCCATGCTTTTGTTGTTGTTGTCAACCCAGGTTTCTAGAATTGTATTTTGACCAGTCCTGTTATTTGCTTGGCTCTGTTATTTATTTTTATTTTTTTAGTTAACTTTATTTTTTAGAGCAGTTTTAGGTTAACAGCCAAACTGAGTGGAATATAAGAGAGTTCTTAAATACCTCATGACCCCACATTCATAGCCTCCCCCAGTATATCAATATCCCGCACCGGAGTGGTACATTTGTAAGGACCTGTAATTTAAGTTTTGAGCAGACAGTGCATCCTCATGTCAACTAAATAGGATGATTTGTAAAGAAAGATTGGTTTCAACTGAGTATTATTTTGGAGAGATCTGTTTGACAACTAATGGTGTGTTTGCTTGATTTGCCCCACTTTTCAGTTTAAGTTAAACCATTGTATGGACATGGCTTAACTTAATGTGTTTTTGAAATTTTTTAAACTTTGTGTTTAAATCTTTGAGAAAATTCTAATGACTTTATCATTTTATGTCAATAAATATGTTTGGGAAATAAAATTACAATGTAGAATTGCTGCTTTTGACTTCTAAGGAACATGATTTCAGAATTAAAACTTTACGTATTGCTTATTCTTTTATGCATATTGTGTTTAATTTAGTCTACAGATGGCGAATAATTCAAGGCAAAGGTGTATTTTTTCAAACTGATTTTCAAGTCACCTACAAATTGAGGGCTATCTAGACGTCATAATTTGAAAGTAAAACACAGTTGGAGAAAGATAATAATAAAATAAACTTTAAAAAGCATTCAATAAGTTTAGAGAAGACTGAATAGATTATGACCATAATAAAAGTCAAAATGAAAATTCCAGTAAGAAAAATGAGATAAAATTTAGTAAAATAATTCATTAATTTTTCAAGTTAATAATTAAAATTCAATTTTACTTAAACATTTCTTTTTAAAAATAAAAAAAAGTTAAAGGAAAATAGAAAGTATTTCTTTATAATTATGCTTTAATTCTATAGTCATTCTTAAATGTCGTTTCCAAAGATACCTTTATCATCTACCATTTCAGCTATTTTAAAAAGCTCCTTTTCTTAAGTCCCTGAAGAGTTCTCTTTTCACTCCAGTATTCTAGTGTACAGTTTATACTTGTTTATTTCCTTGTGTTTTCCCATTCCTTCCTCCTCTTCTTTTTTTTTTTTTTTTGAAAGAGAGTCTCGCTCTGTCCCCCAGGCTGGAGTGCAGTGGCCCGATCTCAGCTCACTGCAAGCTCCGCCTCCCGGGTTCACGCCATTCTCCTGCCTCAGCCTCCCAAGTAGCTGGGACTACAGGCGCCCGCCACCTCGTCCGGCTAGTTTTTTATATTTTTAGTAGAGACGGGGTTTCACCGTGTTAGCCAGGATGGTCTCGATCTTCTGACCTTGTGATCCGCCCGTCTCGGCCTCCGAAAGTGCTGGGATTACAGGCTTGAGCCACCGCGCCCGGCCTCCTTCCTCCTTTTCTAGAGCAAATCTAATTGCTGTTTTCTCTCTGTTCACCACAGCTAACTACTACCATGATTACTCATTCTTCT